TTTTATTTATGAATTGTAGTTGCAAATGCAGTTCTAACTTTGAGTTCTTAGCTTGCTTGAGAAAGATATTTTTTAACCAAAGCTTATGATTAATGGTTTGTAGGTATTATGTTGATATGGGTTCAACTCGAAAGAGTGAATCCCAAACCAAATACTACCCATCTTTCCCGAGAGAGAGGATGTATTAAGGTTGTGGGCTGCTCTTATTTGTTAAGCTTGTTGATGTTCGAGAGAAATCACTTGAATCGAAGTAGTTGTTTGAGAGAAAGCTATTTCACTCAGAGCCTAGCCTACCCATTGATATTTAACTATTTATTAGTAGTTTCAATTACCCATATAGCGAAATTTGCCTATAATCGATCACATCCCGAGAATTCCCCTCTTTATTGTTATTTCAGTTTTGTGTGTCTGCATTGTAGCTGATTGCAAACCAAAATTCCCCATCTGACATTTGTTGTCACCCCCTTAGACTTGTTTACATGTCTTTTTTCGATAACTCCTATTCCTGTTGCTGATTTGATCACGTTTGTACTTCCTAATTGAATTTGAACACGTACTGCTCCCTGTAGGTTCGACCCACCCAAACTCTTTGTTGGGTTTTAAACGACTTAACGATCGTTCGTTCACACTTAGAATTGGATGAGGTGTGCTTGAAACGTTAATCAAGTGTCGTACCACCATATTGATTAAGGAGATGAATATTTCTTGTTTGATGATACATGTACAACAAATCGAAGAAGAGACGTTGAAAAAGAAGTCTAGCTAGTCAAAAAGGGCAAGGACTGGTGATGATGACCTTTCTCATTCTAAGTTTGATGGACATAGTCGTCCTCAATTCCAGCAAAAGTTTTCCGGTCACAGTTTCTCTAATGTCTCGGCTCCTAAGTTCAACAAATATAGGGTATCTTAACCTAAGTCTCAAGAAGGTGGTAGAAATGGATCTTTGATTCCCGCTTGCCAAAAGTGTGGCCACAAGAGTCATTCGAGAAGGTGCTTAACCGATACAAATATTTGTTATGGATGTGGAAAGAGTGGTCAAAAGATGAGAGATTGTTCGTTACTCGTATCTAAGGGGAGGAATGGTAGGAAAGCTCAGCATAGTGGTTCTGGTTCGGGTGCTCCTCATCATAATAGGTTCTATGCTCTTCAGACTCGACAGGATCACGAGGATTCTCCAGATGTTGTGGCTAATATGTTAAAAGTCTTTCATCTTTATGTGTATGCTTTTCTTGATCTGGATTCTACATTGTCTTTTGTAACTCCTTATGTGACTATGAGATTTGATGTCTGTCCCGCTATTCTTCTAGAACCTTTTTCAGTCTCTACCCCGTTAGTGATTCTATTATTGCTAAACAAGTCTGTAGAAATTGCCCTGTTTCTGTTTCACATAGAGTCACCCATGTTGATTTGGTAGAGCTTGATATGCTAGATTCGATTTTATTCTTTGGATGAATTGACTTCACTCTTGCTATGCTTCTATAGATAGTAGGATCCGATTGGTCACATTCTAGGTTCCAAACGAATCTATCTTAGAACGGAAGAGGGGAAATTCAGCATCTAAGGGTCAATTCATATCTTGCCTAAAGGCTAGGAAAATGATATCTCAAGATTGCTTCTATCATCTTGTTCGGGTACGAATTCTAAAACCCCTACTGTTGAGTCATTCCGATTGTCGATGACTTTCCCAAAGTGTTTCTCGATGATCTTCTTGTTGTTCCTCCTGAAAGTGAAATAGACTTCGGTATTGACCTTCTCCTAGATACACAATCTATCTCTATTTCTCCTTACCGCATGATCCCGACCAAAAAATTAAAGAATTTTATTATTTCAATCCATTTATAACTAATACCACTTAACTTCTATCCACATAAATTTTCTTAAATATCATATAAAATTAATATGTGAATAACTTTTATATAACATTTGAAACTTAGGAACAAAACATTATTTAAAATTAATAAGTATATGAATAACTTTTATTCTATGTACAAATTAATAAATTAATTAATACATGAATAAACTCATAGATTAACCAATTGGATCGGCAGTCCCCACCCCAGCCCACCCAAAACTTGGCTATCCGCTATCCCCGACCTCACTCATTCCGTGATTGATAAGAAGAAAATTTGATATCAAGAATCAGTGGAAAGATCACAATCAGAACAACTATATCTGCTAGCTGGATATAACACATCGTATATAAATAAAGACTTTCCTTGTTGCAGATCTTACGGCTTCAATGAAGGAGCCTTCCATTTCTCTTCAAGAAATCGATTTCCAGAAAAGGTAGATTTTATTTTGGTAAAAATGGAGGATAGAGGAGAATCGTTCGTGGCAGTGAGGAGGATATCGCAAGGATTTGAAAGAGGGAATAGTACTTGCCATTCATCTTCTGGTATGGTATATTCCTTCTTAATTTAATTTAATAACGCACTTGAGTCTTTTTTGATATCTCACTTTCTCTCTCTACTTCTATTCCTTTATCTGTGGATTGAAATTTTTGGTTTACTCATGCCTAGTTGCGTTGAATTTTGTGGTGAGTTTGCATCCAATTTCCGCAAATTTTCTTTTCATCACTGTTCCGCAAGAAAGATGCATGTACAAATTGTGGGCTGAAACAGCCAGCTTATTTGTAAAATTGCGCTTTTTGACAATCACAGTAGACAAATATGCCGTCTATTTGATTCTTCTCCAAGGACGACAAAAATCTATTATTTCATAGTTTTGGTTTCTAGGTTAAAATGAATGTCGGTTGTTGACCTTTTATATACGGAAAAACGTCTGAAAAGTAGCTCTAACTATCACTGATAGGTTTAGAGTGGACACAACACTAGAGTGGAGTGGTTGAGAATTTACTAGGTCATTTATGTTAGCTTTTGGGAGTGGTACAGGCTGCATAGGGGGTATCGTGATTACTTAACCAGGCTGTTCATCTCACGGTTGCACATTATGAGAAAGCAGGATTGTGGATTGTGCCCTCTGTATTTAATGAATTTACATTACATGATTGCATCTAATTTTAGCTTTCAAATGGGAATTGTTTTTTGATAGACAATTGTAAAAGGCAATTGGCTAGTGAAGTTGTGTTAAGGTGGTTTTTGTTTTGTACTCAATGTTGGGAGGTTATTTTTTTCTCTTGTTGTGCATAAAAAAGGTTAGTTCATGAATGTTTAGACACTTGAATGGTATATTTATTTTTTTGATAAAGGTAACATTTGTATATCAATCATCAGCTCAAAGCTGGTATCCAAAAATTTACATCATATCCTCCCTCCATACATGTGTGTCGGGCCTAAACAAAAGATAAAGAAAAGAAAGAAGAAAAAAGAGAACTATCCCTAGATCCTCCTTTCACCTTTATAAGGACCCTAGAATGTCTACAATAGCCAGAGGGTCATCTATATACTCTGAACTACACCATTAGCAAAAAGTGATAATGCAGTTCATTTTAATCTTGTGCAGAGGGCTGCTCTTGTTATCAAAATTCCTAGAATTCCTTTCTTTCCATATGGTCCACCAAATAACAGCTGGGACAATTTTCCATCTACTCTTGTCTGTGCTGCCACTGCCCTCCATATTCCAGCTTTCTAGAGCCTGTCCTGTTCTCCCTGGAACAGTCCAACTTATACCTCTGAAGCTAGTAAACAAATTCCACAGCTGGCCAACCACTTTACAATGTAAGAACAAATGATTAATTGTCTCTGCAACCTGCTCACAAAAACAGCATCTTGGGCACATTTGTATTCCCCTCTTCATAAGATTCTCTTGTGTAAGTACAGCCTCTTTCACCACCAACCAAGTAAAAACTACCACTTTATATGGTATTTTAACCTTTCATACTTGAATGGTATATTTATGTTCAACATACCCTGCTGTTTTTGTACATCTGCAACAGCACTCTCTTTGTGCTTATTTCTCATCATCAACATAATCTAAACAATGAAAAAGAAAAAAAGTATACAGATGTTTCCACTTCTCAATGACCAATTTTGGTAGGTAGGATTTCTACTAACTAACTGAGTAGTATTGCCCATGATATTTGTTCTCTTAACATTTGTGAGCTTTTGTTTTCGTACCCATGCATGTACCATGTATTTAATTGTGATATTATCCTTATTACACAATTGAACCTTGTCATAGTTTCTGAATTGATGCATTCTTGACACTTCTTCGTTAGTTATGAAACTTTGCTCTAAGTTGCTCGGACTCGGGTGCGGGTGTCCCATACAAGTGTGGATCTAGAGGTCGGATCCTTCATGATCTAATTTTTAAGATTCGGGGATATGGATCCATGTATGGATACGGGTGCGGGGGATTCACTTAAAAAATAATTAAAATATCTAAAAATAGAGTTATAAAACCTAAATTATGTGGAGAACTTGAGGAGAATCTTGGAAGGAGATTAAAGGAAAAAGAGTGACATAGAAATTTCTATATGAAAGGTATTCCATTTTCTTCAATTTCACCTTATCTTTTGTAATGATTATAGGAATCATTAAAATTGTCCATACTTTCCCATCAATTTTGGTCAAAGTACCCAAAATTCGTTGACCAAATCGGACACGGATCCCACACCTACACCCATGTCGTGTCAACACGGTTGCAACACCAAAAGTGAAGAGTCCGAGCAACTTAGACTTTGCTCATTCGAGTTGTCTTTTCTATGTGTCTAGAAAGATACACTTTAACTCCTTATTCCAAAAAGGAAAATAAATAAATAAAGGATCAACTTCTCTTCTTAATAATAAAAAATGAATGCGCTTCTTGTCACATGTCTAAATCTTCTTTTTTTCTATCTCTATACACTATGAAGCATGTTGTTACTGGGAACTTGACCTCCCATTTTCCTTAGATTATTGTTTCCTTCTGTTACTGCAGAGGTCATGGCCGGATCAACAGCATGGCTTGGCAGAGGCCTTTCATGCGTTTGTGCCCAGGGAACCGATATTGATGCTCGCCCATCATTTGATCTGACACCAGCCCAGGTAATATTCTAGTCTATGCTGCTCGGACTCTTCAAAAATGTCAGTGGGTGCGTGCTGGATTCTCCAAAGGAGTGTATTTTTGGAGAATTTGACATGGGTATGACATCAAAAGTGAAGAGCCAGCACAACTTAGATTCTAGTTCAGGTTATATGAAGTGTAAGCTTCCTACCAGGTAAATTTCTAGGAGTGTCAACACAATGCAGTATTGGGTTCTTTTGATCCTCTCTTATTAAAAGTTTGTATTCTGGATAGGATTTCGTTGTGGTACTTCCAATATGCTATACAAATTTGTTTTCTGATTGTTTCTCCAAGATTTTACACTTGAAAGTTACAACAAATAGGGAATATGCTGAGTGTTGCAAGTGGTAATGAATTTTATTTGGTTTCATAGTCATTTGGCTAATTGAGCTCATGTTGAGGTTCACATATTCTTTAACTCTCTTTTAAATTGTGCTAAGTCTCAGGCATGAATGTCTTATATCTAAAATTTCACGCTCTCCCTTTTCCTCCACAATCCTCAGATAACCACAGTTGAAAATTCTAATGAGATTGCGAATATTGCCTTTTATTTTCAATTCCCCACTTATGTCAACTTATCCAGTTTTATTCTTAGAAAATATGTTATTCAGAATGTTAAGTTTCACAGCACCGTGAGGAAGTATGGAGTGTCTTTGGCACATCGGCACTTATTGTGTTCTCTTCCACTTTGTTAATGTTAGGAGGAATGCTTGCAAAAACTACAAAACCGTATAGATGTTGCATATGATGGTTCAATTCCTGAACATCAGGTATCCTCTATTTGAAGATGTCTTAGCCATTTCCCTATGAACTTAAGAGAAAACATCTTTATGGATTTTAAATATTCCATTAAGGTTAAATTTACGTTCTTACTGCTCATCTTCGTCTCTCTCTCCCCCTCTCTTTACCAAAAGGAAGCTTTAAGAGCACTGTGGAAAGCTGCCTTCCCTGTGGAAGAACTCCATGGTTTAATATCTGAGCAATGGAAGGAAATGGGTTGGCAAGGGAAGGATCCATCTACCGACTTTAGGTACATCAGTATTTTCTTTCTCTTCCTCCCCCCCTAGGCATCTTAAATAAGAAATCACTGATGATTGAGCTTATCTAATCTCAATTTTCTGACTTCTTCCGGCTTTTCTGGTCCTTCCATTCTTGGTTTTCCACTGACATGTTTGATTGGTTTTGATAGGGGTGCTGGATTCATATCGCTGGAAAACTTGTTATATTTTGCGAGAAATTTCCCGGTACTTCCTCTTTTTGCCTTCTCTTTATGGAGAAATAACATTGTGCCATGTAAACCTTTTATGCCTATAATGAAAAGCTAATCTTTAGTATCAACAAGTGCTATTATTTGGTAATCATTGGAAACGTAACATCTATGTTTCTTAAACTGGTCTTCATGACTATGTCTCCCGAGATTGTAGTTATTATTCAGATGTTGTGTTATTTCTGTATGTTCTCAGTTCTCACAGTTTCTTTTGCACCTCTTCTTTCATGCAATTGTAAAAGTATGATTCTATTTGATTCCTCAACCTTCAAAAACATTATATTAGTTGTGACTGTGTTGGTTGATGGACATCTTAAAGGATGGTCAAATTGCTCTCTGCTATTCCTTGCTACTGTCAAACAGAAATGTTTTAGGCACCCTTATGTTTTCTTTGAGATACCGTAACATCTAATTTCTTTTATTAAACTGGGTAAGTATTTCTATCAGTATTTTTATCTAATGACAATAGGGGTGACTTAAGAATGAACACAGGATCAATCAGGTAGATCTTTTTTTCCTTTCCGACGTTTTGGATAAATAGGTATATTGGTAAAGTCGTCACTGTGTGACCTATAGGTCTTGCCGTGGAATCAACTACTGATGCTTACGTCATCCCGGGCTTCCTACATCGCACTCCCTTGAGGTGAGGTCCTACCCCAGACCTTGTGAGATACATCATGCACCGGGCTGCCCCTTTTTACATAGATTGTCCTAGATCTCAGTTGACCCTTAAAGAAAGAGAGAATCTTCTACCATTGACATCCCTATTTCAAATGACTTGTAAAATTAAACAAATTTGCTGCATAGACTGTAGAGTATGAAGCTGTTAATTGAGATGTCAGATCTTTTTTTTTTTTTTGAGTATTTTGGGCATATTTAGGCTACAAAATCAACAGAATTGTAAGAGTCTAGGTGGAACAAGTTCCAGTTTGTCGTATCCTTTTCTGATGGTACTGATTATTAATGGAAGATGGCATATCCATTATAAAGAAAAGTTGATGAGCAAGTTATATGGCATGTAGTGTTTTTGAGAGCGATAAGTGCAAAAAAGTGATTAGGGTCTGCTTCGCTTAATGCAAGAAGCAAAGCCCTCAGTTGAATTTTTTTAAAAATAAATCAAAATAAGCCTTGCACAAATAAATAGAATAACTAAATAAAAAACTCAAGGAAACTTTATATATATGCAAATCAAAATTTTAAAAACAGTGAAGAAGAAAAGTTGAAGAAAATGAATTAACTAACTAAATAAGAATATAAGATTGCCCACTTAAATAAATTAACAATCGCTAAGACAATAACAAGAGAATAAAAGAATGTAGAGGCAATGAAACAATTTATAAAGAAAATAGAAGGAAGAAAAGTTGAAGAAGATTATAGAAGCAATGAAAAAAAATAAAAGTAGAAAATAAAAGGAAAAAAGGAAAAGAAAATGGCAGCGCAAATAAGACGCAGTGAAACAACGAAGAAAATTGCTTGAATTTTCAAGAAACAACACTATCAGATTTTGAAGAACCCTAGTCGTAGAGAGAAAGAAGAAGCGACTTAGTAACTCTAATTATTTTTCAATCTAAAATAAGTCCTAGCTTCCCCTTTTTGCTAAAAAGTCACGCTTATATTATAAGCAAAGTGACTACTTCCTCGCGATCTCAAGCTTCAAGGATAGAAGCAATTGCTTCATGCAAACCTCTTTGCCTCACCTTTATACGCCCTGAAGCCCCCTTGCCTCACGTTGCTTCATTGTTTAGAAGTTGTGAAATGGGTGCTTTTAAAAACATTGGTGCCATCCCAAACTTTTACCATTTGACACAAGTATATTTCATTGAGCTCTGGAAATTTGGCATAAATGAAGGCCCAAAAAGATAATAATAAACTCGTACGGTTGGCCTGACGATTAACGAAGTGAATTGAGAACTTTCAACTCTTCGGTTCTAATTCCACAACAAACGTAAACACACTAGGTGATTTCTTCTTATCTATCCAAGTCTTGGTTAAAAGAGTTATCCTGTACTGTATTGTGTTGGTGGGAGGTAGCAAATATCTCATGAAATTAGTTGAGGTGCATGTGAATTGGGCGAGCACTACAACAACATACCAGTGTAGTATCACAAAGTGGGGTCTAAGAAAAGTATAATGTACGTAGGCTCAAGAAAAACCCAGTCCAAAGAAATCTAGAAAGAAAGTAACGGTAGTACAAGAAACAACATATAGTAACAAAACAAGAGATAGTAACACAACGATACTACAACAAAATAATACGATGGTTGAAGTACAAGAAACAACAGAGAGTGACAAAAATCAAAGGACAAGAAACTGCAAGAGTAATACTACAACTACGAGTATGGACAGACAACAAGAATGCGCCTATTGATCTTCTACCCTAATATGTGTCCTTCACAACCTCCTATTTAAGGTTATGGCCTTGGTAAGTTAAAACTGCGTCATTCTAATCACCTCGCCCCAATACTTCTTTGGTCCACCTTTACCCTTCATGAAACCATCCATAGCCAACCTCTCAAACCTCCGTACTGGGTATCCATGCAAACTCATCATATGCTCAAACCATCTTAACCTCACTCCCTGAATCTTGTTCTCCACCGAAGCCACTCCCATCTTGTCCCGGTTATCCTCATTTCTAATCCTAATCTCTCTTAGTATGTCCACACATCTTTCCCGACATCCTCATCTATGCCACTTTTATCTTTTGAACATGAGAGATCTTGATTGGCTAACACTATTTCTCGATGTCTCTTAGAGTGCTCCAACTCCCGTAACACAAGGTCCAGTTGATCTTCCTGCACTTCTTCTAAGCCCCCAGTTGTATAGTCTGTTCACAGAAAATACCCCATCTTTGTGATTTCCCCATGCTAATTTGTGTGGCTCTAGAGTATTACCAGGGAATCCACCAATCAAGCTCAAAAGCTCTACCACTCCATCAATCTCCCGGTCAATACTATGGGGTTATGATCAGACCCCAAGCTGGGCAAAGCACTTTATCTAATTTGAGTGAGCATCTCATCCCAAGGAAAGAAGTACAGGAATCTTCTGCCTCCCCTTCACGAGCACCACCACGTGGCGTGAGCCGCACCACAACCGTCTATGGGCTCATGGGAGGGGAGCCCCTCTTGGCCAGGCTCTGGAAGGCTTCACGAGCACCACCACAAGCCGTGGTACCTCTTCACGGCCCGTCATGGTCTCCATGAAAGGTGCCATGCGATTCTTGAACCATTTTTTTGACTTGCCCCTCCTCTCCATGTATTTGGGGGATCCACAAGTTCCAATTCATTGATGCAACTGGAGAAGTCAGACATAGCCCCAAAAATTCTACTACAATTGGTCTTTTTTTATGGAAACCTTGTAGTGTTAAAATCCCCACATACCTCCCAAGGCCCTTCACATAAGCTCCTCATTGCTCCCAACTCCTCCCACAATTCCTTTCTCTCGCTCCCATCACATGATGCATATACTGTAGTGATGAAACAAATAGGTCTTGATTTAAACCACTAAACTTGCAAGTAATGCTTTGGTTACCCTTTCTACTGGTTCCCCTTTCCAATTCCTCTTGCCCCACATTATCAAGATACCCCCCTTATTACCTAAAGATTCCATCCACATTCCTCTGATCCATCTCTTTCCCCCCAACTGCTGCAAATATTCCCTACCTCCCCACAATGTTGTCTCCACCAACGCTATTATGTCCACCCCTTGTTGTATTCTTTTTTTTTTTCGATTTTTTTTAAAAAGAAGATAAATCTCCCTCTTGTTGTATTCTACTCCTTACAAGATTCCTCTTAGTATCCATTTTGAGCCCCATCACATTCTATGAAAATATTTTTAGCTTCATTATAAA